TTCGATAGATTTTTAGTTTTATTGAAAAAGAAGGAGCTGTAAAAAAAAGTAAATAACATAACTTTGTATTTTGATGCGTAGAGATTGGAGTGGGTGGTTGTGCTTAAATATGTGTCGAAAACCGTCATGTATTTTATTTGGTAACAAAAGAACGCTATGTTCACAAGCCAACATTGAAAACATTAGAAGCAAGGCTGATTTCGATGCGAGATTCATGTATTCGAAACAACATTCATCAATTGGCGATGCCACGTATTGGCTGTGGCTTGAATAAACTCGAATGATCACAAGTAAAAGAGCTGATACAACGTGTATTTGAGAAAGTCGATATTGAAATCACTATTTACTTAAAAAATACGTCTAGTGCCCCAGCAACGTCTAGGAAGCGACGATGTATTAGTGCGACTAGAGATCATGGGGGTCGAAACGAGACCACGTCAGGATCGGAACTAGGGTTGGCGTGGGTGTGGGTGTGGGTGAGTGTTGGTGTAGGTGTGGGCGTGGGTGGGTGTGGGTGGGTGTGAATGTGGGTGTGGATATCGATCTTATCTTCTGTCACACCCACACCCATACCGAAGGGGGGAAAAGCGAGACTTCGTACTTCACGTACTTCACGTACTTCACGTACATCACGGTACTTCACTCGTACTTCACTCGTACTTCACTGGTACTTCAAATTTTTTGAAGTAGATGAAGTCTTGCTTTTTACCTCTTGCCCACACCCACACTCACACCCACACCCACACCCACACCCACACCCACACCCACACCCCACACCCATCCACACCCACACCCACCCACACCGCCACTCCACACACCCACACCCACACCCACACCCACGCACATCCACACCCACACCCACACCCACACCCACACCCACACCCACACCCACACCCCACACCCACACCCACACCCACACTAGTGTCCTGCGGGAACGACTTTTTTCCCTAATTTTCCCATTCCCATTTAGACTTAAGGAATGGGAACATGGGAATGGGAATTCTCATTTAGACTTAGGGAATGGGAACATGGGAATGAGAACAGAATTAAAAATTGACGTTCCCAAAATTCTTTTTATCTTATTTCAATACATATAAAAATATTTCTATCTGATAACTGTTTATTTTCAATAACTTTTCTTATTCATATACAATTAACAAAAAAATAACAAATGTGTATCAACAGAAAATAGACTATTGATTTATTCTTAATCACATCGTAATTTAATCATCACAAATATTATTTTCTTTTTCATCATCGACTTCGAAAATGACATTACCAAGATCATCTTGCGATACATCATTATTTTCATCTTCTTGTGATACATCGTTATTATCATCTTCTTGTGATAAATCCTTATCATCATCTTCTGTTGAATACTTTCGTTTTTTCATTGGTGTAGTTGATGTGTTACTATTTTTTCGTTTTTTTATTTCTTCAATTGATGGTGGAAATAATTCTCTTAATACCGATAAATTTCGACGTATAAATAATAATTGATTTACTTTGCTTGTTTGTAAACGTGTACGACGATTTGTTATTGTGTTTCCACTGTCTGAAAAGAGTCTCTCGACTGATGTATTAGTAGCTGGTATCGATAAAATACGTTTAGCTATTTTAGCTAATGTGGGATATGACGATTTATTGTTCTTCCAATAAATTAATATATTCATATCTTTATCAATTTTGGTGTTATCTTCAATATATCTGTCAAATTCTGTTTTTGTTGGTTTTTCATCTTTTAATTCATCAGGTGATGTTGGTGAATCAAATATATCATCTAACGATGATGCTAATTGTGTATTTTTGTGCTGTTGGATTTGTTGTCTTTTATTGTTATTATTTGATGATGATGGTTGTTGTTGAAGTTCTTGATATTTGTCAAATTCTGATTTTAATAATGCTTCCGCATGATACCTTTGATGTGGTGTATGATTAAAACTTTTCAAATTTGGGTGCAACATTGTTGCAATAAAATGAACATCATTCACAACCCAATAATCAGGTAATTCTTTGGCAATGTATTTCTTCACAGGTATTATTAATTGATCATCATTATCATTAATAACTGATAGATTAATTAACAATTGTTTATAAGGAATAACAAGATGAATGGTGGGTGTTTTTTCACAACTTAATTTTTCAATAACATCAAAAAATTTTTTCAGATATATACATAATGATTCCAAACTATCACGATCAACTTTCAAATAATTTCTCTTTTGTTCATCACTGAGGATTTGTGGTAATTCATAATAAACTTTCATAAATGAATTAAACATCAAATATATTCCACTAAAGCGTGTATCCGAATAATTTACTAGATATATTGATAAAAGAGATTGCTTACGAGATTGACGAATATTAGTAATAATACCTCGAACTAATTTGAATAATGATTGAGCAGAATTGCAATTTGCATTATTATTGGTGAATGCAAGTTGAAGTATCTTATTCAAGTAATGTGCACTACATCCAATACCTTTGCAATCATCTTTAAAAGCGCACTTCATTTTATTTTCATTATCAGTCACGATAAATACATCATCATTTAAATAAAGACCATATTCTTGTAAAACTTTATTAACAAATGAACGTAAATTAATTGCATCTTGCGTTTCAAAATCATATGCTTGACACGATAATGTAAATACACGAAGTTGAGATTGTTCGTCAATATAATGAAGACTAATTCCACCATAATGAATACCTTCAACATAACAGAGAATAAATGTGACGCATTTAATTTTATTCGAAAGAACACAATAAGTTTACCAGTTATTTTTGCTGTCCAAAAATCACACGTGATGCAAAAACATTCTAATGGTACACATAAAGAAATAAGTTGTTTCTTCAAATTTAAATAAACATGTTCAACATTAAGACTGATCTATTGAAAAAAAGATATTTAATATTGTAATTGAATCCTATATGGAATGCAAGTTTAATACTTACGGTACTTGGATGAGGTAATAATTCACTAACATTTATAGATGTACCAAGAGTAGCTCCAGCATATATTAATTGTTTAGCTAAATTTTGAAATCCAGTACCAGCTACATTTTCGAACAGGCGTACATCAACTGCACAATATTCGACACATGCTTCTGTAATACGTTTTTGAATCAATGGACATTCTTTTGATGATGAAGGGTGTGGGTGTGGGTGTGGGTGTGGGTGTGGGTGTGGGTGTGGGTGTGGGTGTGGG